ACCTATATCACATGATTATCACACCTAGTATAATCCTAACCTATTTCATAACCGTTTTACTAGATAATGATAATAATGAGTGTTTAAAAGATAATGATYGTGTTTAAARGATAATGATCGTGTTTAAAAGATTTGATGATATCATTTCCATTATTACCCTTTTAATTTTAAATTTTTTTGAATCTTTTTAAATTTAAATTTAAAATTTAAAAATCTTTTAATTTTATTTTTTATCACAATATGAGGTTATTGGGTTGTTCTTGCGTTCTCGTAAATCACAGGGGTTCTCGTTTGAACCCTTCCCTATATATATATATATATGTGTGTGTGTGTGTGTGTGTGTGTGTGTATGTGTGCGCGCACGCACGCATGAAATTTTTTGGCAATTACACATATATCTTACATATAGAGTAGTGTAAAATGTAATGATTTTAGGTTGATATATTTGTGTCAGGTTACCGAGATGTTGAATAGCAGTTTATGACAGTAAATATCAATGAGACCAAACTAACATATTAGATCAGTTACTTTTGTACTTGAGAATGTATGATAAGAAATAGCAAACAAGTTCCATAATGCATATTATAAGAGATTTATGGGATCAAATAGGGACTAATATCGCCTACTATAAGAAATTTATCCGAATCAATTAATATATATATAATTGGAATAATATTTTACATGTCGATCAATTTTGATCCAAGATATCATTTTGATTTTTATTTTCATACAAAACACAACATTTTAGTCCTTTTAAAAACTAAAAATACAATTTGATAAAATATTATGTTTAGACCTAAAATAAATTCGCACTCTTTTTAATTTAAAATATTTAAATTGTAATAAAATTTCGATTTAAGAAATTATATCAAAAACTAATATTGTTTTATGCTTCTTTTTACCATATCTTTGAAATCCATACATACATCTTTCACACAAAATAGTGAAATATTCACGTAAATTTTAAGATTAAGGTTCATCCGTATGATGTAAAAATAACAACTAGTCATTAAACATGAACCAAACATTCTCAGAAAATAATATAACGTTCACATAAATTTTAATATGAGTTTCAAGTAAATAAAACAATTATTTATTAAGCATGTAAAAACTTTTATAGGAAACAACATATCTTTATTACAAGAACCCAAACTTCACAAACAACAACTGAACATTCACCGAAACCAATCCTTCACAAAAACAACAATGTCTCACAATTTTTTTTCTGGTTTATTTAACAATATAGTGACATAACACAAAGAATGGGGGTTGATGAGTACAATTCTTTTAAAGTTATTAATCTTTACAAAACAGAAGTTGGTGAAGAACAGGACTTAATATCAACCGTTGGTAATAATCTTAACAACTTGAGATCTATGGTGATTCTTGAGTCTTCATTCTTCAAATATTGGGTGGTTGATCTTTGTCGGCCATCCGTGAATCAACCAACTGGTGACAAAAGCCCCAAATTACTTCCAAGTGTTTATTATATTACCTCAAGTTGAAGAAGGTAATGTTAATAAACAGATCAGGTTCAGGTCATGCAACCAACTGTTCAAGTATTAATCCTCGAATTACAAGTGAGAGAGAGATGGATAAAAACATTTGAGAATAATTTTGTCATAAAAAATATGGTAATGGTAATGGTAATGGTATGGTTATCTTTGAGAAATCTAATCGTAATATATAACCACAGAAGCTGGGCTACATTACATACAATCCTTAATAATTAATGTTGTTTATGGGCTTCTTTCATCAACCCTCTCAACACAGTATATATTTCTTCCGTCTTGGCATGCCTCTCATCAAAGGCATAGAACTCCACCACTCCATCATCCACCTCGATCAAGCTGCACCCTGGCAACTTTTTCCCCCCTGTGTTCCTCATTGCAACTTTTGACCGAGCCACGTCATCCCATCTACCACCTTCTCCATATATATTTGACAACATCACATAGTTCGACGGGTTCTCTGGTTCAAGCTCAATAAGGCGTTCAAGGCACACCTCCGCTACGTTGATGTTTTTGTAACTTCTGCATGCCCCTAATAAGTTGGTCCATATCACATTATCTGGTTTTACTGGCATTTTCTTAACGAATTCAACGGCTTCTTCTATCAGACCAGCTCGGGCTAGTAAATCCACCATACAACCATAATGCTCTATTTGAGGCATTATCGAGTATTCATCTACCATGGAGTAAAAATAGTTAAATCCATCTTTAACTAAGCCCATATGAGAACAAGCACATATGACACCTATAAACGTGATACCGTCTGGTTTCTGTTTGGCCCTCTTCATCTCATGGAAAATTCTCAAGGCATCAAATCCATGACCATGCATAGCTAATCCATTAATAATGGTATTCCACGAAATAACATCTTTTCTACTCATTCCCATGAATACATCAACTGCACTTGTTATCACACCACATTTTGCATACATGTCAATCAAACTGTTTTCTACATAGGCATTCCCTTTATACCCACTGTTTGTTGCATATACATGCACCCACTTACCCAATTCAAGAGCTCCCAGCTTTGAGCAAGCAGACAACACACTTACTAGTGTAGCATCATTAGGCTGCACATCCGACTCATTTAGCATCATTTTGAAGGCATCAAGAACTTCCATGAACCTATCATTATGAGCATATCCACCAATCAATCCATTCCAGGAAAAGAAATTTCTCTCAGGCATCTCTTTAAATAGTTTCTCACATCCCTCCAAATCCCCATTATTTGCATACCCATTCAGTAAAGTATTCCACGACATCAAATCACGATTAGGCATGACATCAAACAGCTTCCTAGCTGCACCCATGTCACCACATTCTATATAACCAGAAACCATAGTATTCCATATTACAATGTCACGGTCCGGGGCTAAATCAAACAGTTGCCTTGCAAAACTTACATCCCCGCATGAAATGTACCCACGAATCATTGATGTCCAAGTAACCACATTCCTTGAACCAATTTCACTAAAAACCTTGTATGCATAGCCAATCATACCCCCACTGCAATACATATCAATCAAGGTCGTCCCAACATACGGATTCGACTTAAATCCAATCTTTACCACAAAGCAGTGCACTCTTTCTCCATCTCTCAGAGCCAATAGGTTCACACAAGATTTCAGAACCATGGGAATTATAAAGTAATCAGGTTTCACATTAATATTTATCATGTGGCCAAACAAAAGCAGTGCATCCACATACATCTTATTTCCGATATAGCCTTTGAACATGGCATTCCATGGGGCAATATTACGGTCAGGAATTTGGTCGAACACACGGCGTGCATGAGCCATGTTCTTGAGCTCAGCCCACGCAGACACGAGTCTTGGTGTGATATATTGATTCTGCTCAAACCCATGTGTGGTTATGAGAGACTGAACTTGCAGGATATGATTTGGGGTATTACATGACTGTAAAAGCGAGATGATTTTTTCTTCAAAAATGCGTTTTGGGGGAAGATTTTGAAGAAGTTTCGCAATTTTGAAGAGATAAAGAAAATCGCAAACGAAAACCAATGGGTTTGTATCGACACAATTTGCAATATGGTATCGTGTTCAATGATGCTTGTGTTTTGCAAGTGTGGGTAGTTGGTACAATGAGCGCGTTCATTGAGTCAATTCAGTTCAAGTCGCTCCCTTTGTGTAAATTTATGACCCACAGTCCCTCCATCTTCTACCTATTTTAATACAAAGAAATCATGATGATTTTTAATTGTACAAATGGAATTACTAAAGTAAAATAAAATTAATATTTGTTGGATACATCCAATTCCGATTAATCTTTAAGATTTTGTTTTTATTTATCAATTTATCACCAACTCATAGAATTTCGCGAGCCATCATACATATGACACAGATTGTCATATGATTAGCTATAATGAAGCGCCCACTTAGGCTATGTTTCACAAACTAGCTGATAAACTAGCAGGTTAGCTGATAAGATAACTGATAAACTAGTCACAAACTGGCCATGTTTATTAAGAATATAAGGTGACGGCATAGAGCTAGTAACTTGCACAGAATTGAGAGGTGAATTACATCTCTTATTTTCAAATATAGAGAAACAAAAGCTCAAGAGATAGTGTGGAATAAAAGTATATGCTCCTAAAAATGATGGTTTAGAGCCATACCAGTTCCATCTAGATGCCACCAAAGGTCCAACCAACTATTGCCCATATAATAGCCTCATAACCTATATTAGTGCAACAAGATACAACAATCAAAATTATTGCTAAAATACACTACACCGCTTCAAATTGAAGTATTTATCAAAGAACAACCAAAATATTTCCTATGCGTTACATCATCTATATGATTAAAATATATACTATCCAATAAATACTGTGTGCCTTACAACATCAAATAACCATATAGTCCATTAACCAACAAATTGGCAACCTATAAATGATGGGTATAATCATTTTTAGAATATGGCAGTTAAAACTAGTCTTGTTTTTTTCTCCACAATAACTTCATCACAACATAACCATTAGCTGGTAAGTGGAAAATGTGTGTGTATTTACTGACAACAGCAATCCAAGATTTATGGATACATGTAGATAAGTTTTAGTATGTTTCCATTCTAAGGGGGATCTATATATTCTGAATTGTTGCATCTATTAGTGATCAACAAACCACCATGGAGTTTTTTTTTTTAACAAGTTCATTTATTAGAAAAAAACCAGGTTATTCAGAATCATGCAATTAAGAATCATTCTGGATTCACATAAAAAGAATCAACCAAGCTCTTAATATCATAGGGTAGCAACACTATGGATCTGCAACCTCAAATTTTAAAAAGTGGATACAGGAAATGCTAACGGGTGATGGTAATTTAAAGTTAACCAGATAAACTATAATATTCACAATTTTGTTCTATAACCACCTCCAAAGAAACCCTAATACCATTAACGGAGGCCATGTACAATTTTGTTCAGAGATCCATGCATTAAAACAAAAGTCATTTGGAAATACAAACATATTATCTTTGAATCTATTATTCCTCTAAACCATTTGAATCTTCCGTCTTTTAGGAATCCCTATGAATACTTACCTTATGCAGGCAAAGGAGACAATTCATATTCATTATCTGAAATTGAAAAACTAGAAAGTGGTTTCTGAATCTCTAGCTTTAGAAACTATAACACTGGGTAGTTTGAAATGATTTACTGAGTGATCCAAACTTGGAGACTATAGTGATCCCAACACATTGATATGATTAGTTGAGATATATAACACGTCTCACAATCGAACTATATAGGTTAATTCCCATGCCACGTTTTTTACGGGTGAATAATTTGTCGCTATTGTAACTTGATGCATCTACAGGTAACAATTTTCTGGTATGCAATTACTCCTGAAGATTTAGAGCACAACTGCATAGTTTTGGGTTGATGTTAAATCGCTGCTTGGTCTAAGCAATTAAAGAATTTGATCAGGTAGTAGTTCACAGAACATAGCTACATATTTTCCATCCATACAATTACAAAGTAAAAAATATGAACTTCATGATGTCTGAAGAGGATGATGGGACATTAATTTATGCGCAATTGTATTATAAGCCTTGCACTAATTGAGCATGTTTCGCACTTGTTAGGTGCCTTGTGAAGAGAACTTGTATTTGGACTACTTGGGTAGAAATCCGATCCAGGCTTTGTGTAACGTAATCTCTACATGTTAAATTGAAAAATCTCCATGAACAACACCAAACTCAAGAAAAGTAAATAATACATAACTATTTACTACACATACAATTTACATTACCGATGATCCACACCACAATCTCTGGTAAACTACCTATTGAAATTAGTTCATAACTTGATTTTTTTGTCATTGGGAACTTTTGTCAAACACTTGGTGTTCATGAAAAAACAAAATAAGAAAATAGGTAACGGAACACAGTAGTGGGGTTAATCAAAAAACCAAGATAGGAACATATTGGGGATAACAAAAAACGAAGATGACAGATTAAAGATCAATCAACATATGAATCATTATTTCAAAACACCAAAGAAGGCACATACATACATGACAGTGTTCGAAGAAGAACATGGCTTCGGATGTTGGCAATATCGAAGGTTTTGGTGATTCTGAGTTGATGACTTGGATTTGGGGTTAGACTTTCACTTCAAATGTTACCTGCCAATGGCATCGGCCTCCTCTGGAGTTGGAAACCAATTCAGAATACTTAATGTTGGGCTCATATGATTTTCTCTTGGGCCTCAATCTTACCTCTAGCAGTCTAGCTTATTAATAAGTTGTTGGGCTTCGATTTCTAGTTGGTGGATTCCGATTGTTTTAATTTGCTGGGCCTATAAATTTTAGGACTAGGCCATGGTTTCTCTAACGGAGCTAATATTTGGACTTTATTCTTCATCCAGTTTGGGCTTTTTTGTCGGAAAATCTAATGCAAGTGGGGATGATTATTACATGGTGGATAAAGCTTCGATCATTTCATGATTTGAGTTTTTATTTTTAACTTTGGTTATTTAAATAGGTCATTATTAGTTGTCTTTCCTACACATTTTTTAGGGTGGTGTTATTTGACCTCTTATTTTAATAAAAATTTTCCGGGGTTCCGTCATCTTTTCCTAAAAAGAGCACATACACCTATTATTTCAACCCTAGAAATAGTAAGGGGTTCGCATACATTCAATTGGTAGGAGAGATCGAGCAATAGTTGCGAGGGATAACAGTTGTCAGAGATAAGAAGACGAGAGGAAGAACAGAGAAACAAGGGAAATTTTGGTTTGTGTATGTTCGCGTGTTTGCCTACTGTTCGTTCATTTATTTAAGTTCATTTCAAAAAAATATATTATATAATAATTAATTAATACAATTATTAATTAATTTAAAGTATATTATAATTTTTAGTTAAATTTCTTTTCTACTTGATTAAAAAAAAGGAAGGAACCCCTAGTATCTACTAATGGCACCTCTAACCCTATTCATCCAAAAAAGGGAAAGCTAATGACATCCCTAATATTTACTAAGAAATCATGATGATTTTTAATTTAACAAATGGAATTACTAAAGTAAAATAAAATTAATATTTGTTGGATACATCCAATTCCTATTAATCTTTAAGATTTTTTTTATTGATCAATTTATCACCAACTCATAGAATTTCGCCAGCCATCATATATATGACACATATTGTCATATGATTAGTTATAATGGAGCACCCACTTAGGCTATGTTTAACAAACTAACTGATAAACTAGCGGGTTAGCTGATAAGATAACTGATAAACTAGTCATATTTGGTAAAAACTAGCTGATTAGCTAGATCATAAAGTAAAATGACTTAAAAAACATGTTAAAACTTAATTCGAAAAATATGTGGGGCATACTCGAAAAAAAGTGAAAATATCTCCTAGAGGTTATAGAAAAGCTACCTGAAGTAGCTTTTCGAAAAGATAGCTTATATGCTAGTTTATGGCTTACAAATGAGATCTTTTCAATAAGCTCAAAAAATAGGCTAGTTTATGGTTGCCAAATATGTCCCTGTTTGTTTATTTAGACCAATAAGATCATAGTAACCAAAAAATGTATATTCTTTAATGGCAAAGATCATGATTCTAGGCCAAAAGAAGCACTTAAGCTAAACCCATTTCAATAAAAACAAACATATGGAACAGAAACAATATCAAAATTAGAAAACAATCAAGAAACAAAATCAGAAACCCAGGTCAATGGCAAAATCATACGGACTTAATTATGTTTTGTTTACATCATTATTGACAAATTAACAACCGCAAATGGCATATAACAATAACAACAAGAGAAACAATAGATTTCATATAGCAGCAACACCAAGAAGAGTGGCAACAAATAACACATGGTAGAATTGTCAAACCAATCAAAATCAAGAATAATAGCACAACTCTGTAAATGCCAACTCAGTATACAAGAAGACGTTTGCCCAAGTCCCAATTCATATTTTAGTAATTCTAGCAAAATCATCAAAGCACAAACTTGTCTCTATCACTAACCTATTTGACCAAATTATCTGTAAATGTGTTTTTGTGAAAGAATTTATGTTTGAAGTGAGTAATATTCAAGATTCATGAGAAAACCACAAAACAGGAAAAGATGTTTCTTTCTGGGATCTTTATACATAACATGGGGTTTATTAGGAGATTGGTATGGATGAACACTCACTTAAAAAAACAATGTAGAAGCTTGTTTTTAGAAGAAACACACATTTCTTAAAGATCTTTGTTCTCGACAAAAACTACAGATCTCAAAACCAAACACATTTCTTAGAGACCTAGACGCATTTGACAGCCCATTGATGCAAACAAGTCGAGGCCACACACAAGCAAAAACAATCCAAAGAGAAATACATGACGATGATGGCTAGGGTTTGCTGAAAAACCTTGTGCACGAAGGCTAGAGTCACGAAGAAACGAGGGTATAATCGGAAACCTAAGCGCTGGTAACGTTTAGGCTGTTCAGAGAGTAAACTCTACTTTTGATCCTTGTGCTTTCATGAAAATCGTTCATGTGGTTTCAAGAAAATCTTAATATCAACCTGTTATATTTCCCATATATATTATTCGATTTGTGCAGACTACTAGACCTCATAACCAAAATTGTGTAACAGGGCAGAACCAAAAGCTGTAACCTACGGTACAAAATCACATATATAATCACATAAAGAAATCTCTCTCTCTCTCTCTCTCTCTCTATATATATATATATATATATATATATATATATATATATAGACTTGGGATCATGTGAGACCAAAGGTTTTTCCTGAGATCCGTACGACAAATTCTCAACCCTTGGATTAGATCTACAATCTGACAATCTAAACATTCATAAACGCCACGAGACTTCTCAATAATCACAAAATTGTCACCGTACAACTTTAGACCATTAGATCATTAGTTTATAAAGTTGATTAATGCATATATAATATATATATATATATATATATATATATATATATATATATATATATATGCAAAACCACATATGTGCACCAAGGCAGAAAGAAATTGAAATCAAAGAACCACATCTTCGACTTGGGAAGCGATGGTTGAACGAGGTCTGGAGAGAAGGAAATCGATTTGGTAAAAGAAACCGTACCTTTTTATCGAAGAAGTGAACGAGGCCTGGGACAGAACGATGATTCTCAAGATGTTGGGGGAAGAAGCAGTCAAGCGAGACAATGGAGTCTTTCAGATGTTCAGTTCTACGTTCGAATATATTTTTGTAACGTCCCAAAACCCCGTAGCAATGATATTGTCCACTTTGACTAACCTGCCCGCTATACCACAAAGCAGTAGTCGCACGGTTTTATTYCTGGCAGCCGCACAACGCAAGCCCCAAAACGCGTCATGCTAGGCTGAGGTATCCACACCCTTATAAGGAGTGCTTTGTTCACCTCACCAACCGATGTGGGACGGGCTGTTACAATTTTGGTGGAAGAAAAAGTTTTGTATCTTTGTCTCGTAACTAGGGCTGTAAACGAACCGAACGAACACGAACGGAGGTTTGTTCATGTTCGTTTGTTTAACTTAACTGAACAAACGAACGAACACGAACGGTAAACGAACGAAAATCTTTGTGTTCGTGTTCGTTCGTTTAGAAATAAGGTGTGTTTGTGTTCGTTTATGTTCGTTCATTAACATGCTAAATGAACGAACATAAACGAACGGGCTAAACGAACAGGTTAAACGAACATAAATAAGTATTATTTGAATTCAAAGTAAATAAATAAAAGATTATATATTAAATTAAATATATAAACGAATGGATATAAACGAACGTAAACGAACGGTATATGAACGAACGTTCACGAACATAAATGAACAAACGAGACTCTTGTCCATGTTCGTTCGTTTAACTAAACGAACAAAAAAATTGTTCATGTTCATTCATTTATTAAATAAACGAACATAAACGAACTTCCCGCCGAACGATTCACGAACGGTTCGCTGAACGTTCGGTTCACTTACAGCCCTACTCGTAACACACCATATTTTCTTTTTCTTTTCTTTTTATATTTTTTCTCTCAATCCCCATTTATATTCATCGATTTAAATACCAAATGTTTGGTTATTGAATTAAAATTTTCGTCCCTATGATTAATAAATCTTTTGGATTGGATTCCTCAAACAAAATAATTATAAATATAATCATTATAGTTCACTTTTGTTACAAATTGGGTACTTTTATTCTAACTCCGGTAACCGAACTTCGTTAATTCAAGAATAATATTATTGTTTTACCTTTTTTTTCCATGTAAAAACATAGAAAATAATATATGTATATATTGTGTACAGATAGCATTTAAACATCATCCCCGTTCATCGTCCCTCACCTCCGACTCTCCCCATCTCCGATCACTTTTCCTTCTCCGATTACACATTCATCTCCGGTCCACCGTTAGCAAAACAGAACAGATGAAGCTTCACACCCTCTCTCTCACACACACAAGAGGAAGAAAATACAAAGAGAATGGTTTTGATCCGGATCTGAGATAATAGTTTTTTGGATCCTCTATCAGAACATTCAAAACCAACAATGGCATTCTCCTACCTCCATCGAAACCAACCTCCCAAATCAGAAGATTTTCAAGGTTTTCCATTTCCATCCTCATTGAAGCCAACAAAGTTTTCTAAGTTCTTTCCGTTGGTTTAGGGTTCTTTTATTTTGAATCTGAGTTTGTTCTTAAAAAATATATTGTTGAGTTTAAGCAACAACGAAATGTGTTCTAGATTTGACCGGAGGATGGTTTTGAGCAACAATGGGTTCCATATTTAACCAGAAAATGGTTTCCATATTGACCGGGGAATGGGTTTTGAGCACGATGGACTCCAAATTTGACCGGAAAATGAGTTACAAAATCGACCGGATGATGGACTTTGAGCAACGATGGGTTCCACTTGATGAAGAAAAATGATCCTTGCCAAGAAAGATATTTTCTCCTCTACATAGCCAAAGAAAGCTACACTAGTAATGAAATAACAGCAATTGGCCCTCAAATGTTTGGGACTTTGCGTCAAATTTGAATTTGAAAGTTCTAGGTTGAATTTCCACAAACAAAAGGAATGGTATAGAAGAAAAGTTAGGATGCTACATAAAGGATCTACCTTGAATCTTAGTTGGTATATACTCTTTAGACAAAAAGGTTAGTGAGTGCACAGATAATGCTTCAATCTCAAACTTGACTCCACTTTGCAGCAGCAATTGTAGTTCCACCCTGATACAAAGAAGATAGAGGTGATCATTATCAAGTAATGCAGAAGAAGAAAAATCAAAAGATGAAGAAGAGCATTATCAACCTCCACTCTGGCACTACCCTCTGGAAATAGCATCTATTCAAAATTGCCTCTGTTTTGATCCTATCTGATAACAAACAATGTTAATTCGATAGAAATGAGGGAAGCAACTTCACAGGAATATTATGCTGAGATCACACCTTCAGATGTCATAGGAAGGAGACACTGTTGTGGAACACTATATTTCTCAGCATCTGAAGGAAACACTCCAAGCCATTGTATCTCAGGAAGCCTCATGGTCTTTGTATCATATGCCATTTGCTTTAAGCAAAATTTTTGTTAAGATATATAATTTGTGCATATATAATTGTTACACTGCTTGCAACTGCAATTAGCTTAATTACTTCTTATTATACTGGCATCACCTTGCATATACTACTCTTAAGTAAAAATCACAACGGCATTTTGAGATTAAAGAGTCCCCAAAGACATTACCATTGAACCAAACCGGTATGTGGTCAAGATGTCAAATCCATATGGATCACAATCAACCAAACAATAGGCCGGCAGGTGCAGCTGTTCAATGAGTACCCGCAAGAACCTGCTTGAGAAGTAAACACAAGTACAGATAATAATTATAAGATTGAAGTTGCTTTGGTCCGTGTTCTGATACAAAATACAAATAAATAAGTCTTTACCTCCTTGTCTGAATATCGGGATAACCTCTGCCCTGTAGGTAGATATAGTTAATGCCTGATTCCTCTGGAGAAGTTCAACTGAAGACACACTTACCGTGATGACAATGCTACGATTAGTCTTGCAAAAACAATCATTTGCTAGTCGTTGGAATACTGCAAGTAACACTTTTATCAGTTTCAAATGGCAAAAAGGTTGAACCCACAAGTCTAGCTAAAGAAAGGCCTCACCTGATTCCTTCTCCACGACTAATATGTAGTCTGCAACGCTGATAATATCTGTGCACAAGAACCAAAGAGTACATAAGTAACCTGTAAAATATTATCATCTTTCTGTGTATAAGAATATAATGCATACCTACAAAGTTCTGTATTATTAATCAAACATATATGTATAGAAGATAAATCTATGTTGATATATGGAAATATCGTGCTTTAGTTATGTCTTCATTCCTATGCCTATTTATGTCTTCAAATTTAATATCTGCAACTTTCATCACATAACATTTGCCAGAAGGATTGGGTTCCGGTGAGAATAAAAATTGTGGTGAGAAGAGTAAGAAGGGATCTCCACCCTTGGATCAATCCTAATTGAAGAGAACCATTAGATCAACACTAATGAGATACACTTGATCAATTCCCTTCTAAAGAACAATTCATGGTTGTTTTGGGATTAAAAGTGATCAAAGGTCCAAATCTCTTCTTATACTTGTCACCTTAACTCTCATTCTCACATGATCCTTCGTTTTCTCCAGAAAGACTGAGGAACTCTGTAATATATCCACAAATAAGGAAAGGAAACACAGAAACCCAAAGCCTAGACAGTTTATGTGATCGAATAAAAATCATATTTCTTTCATTTCCAGATCTCCTTGCTATCTGAACACCTTTCACTTCTTCTACATGTACCGGAATAGAGTGTGCCTGCCAGAAAACGAGATATCAACCATCAAATTTCACTCCAGTAACCACTTTGTAAAAAATGACATTTTCCCTTACGGTATCAGGGTGGTTTAGGCAGTTGAATATCCTATCAGCTTCTGAGAATCTCAACCATCCCATCACCAATCTGAAACAAATAAACTAGCAAATATAGTTTGGATGGTGAAAGTGTACACAAGTCGACATCCTATTATCATTTACCAACTCTATCAGCTTCCTTTCTCAGGTATTGTTTTACTCTCTCATCACATTAGGGGACAAAAAGATAAACAAGCAGCTTCTTTTTCCTCCATTAACATTTCAATTTGATCATAGGTGTACGACATATCCGAACCTAAAAGATTAAACAAATTTCAAACAGATGATATGCCTCTGAATTTCGGAAATGACATAAGAATATCACGATTCTAGTGATACCAGGAAATTATAATTGCACTCACAATGACATTACTACTTACCAGTAACTTCAACTCAACTTAGTAAAGATATCTTAAATGTGTTCCCAAACTTGAGGAAATGAAACTATTAAAGGTTTATATATGCAGACAAATTTTGTCTCTGAAATATCATGAAGTGGATTTTTTTTAGTTGATTAAAGGACAAGTCAGGCGACAAGCTCTTGAGATACTACTGAGACAGGTATTCAGAGAGCCTCAATATGTTTCAAACAACAGTTCCCTCAGATTCTTAAGGATTTTTAGCAGTTACGCACCCTTTCGCGACAGACACCTGCACAGGAAAGGAGCAGAACAGGTAATTAGACTAACATCTTCTAGAAGTTTTCGTTTCGATACTGCAAGTTGTTTAATTACTGTAAGTAAATTCAACTGCAATATCAATTCATAAATCATTAGAATTCATGAACGTTTCCAACAGTCTCATTTAGCTACTGTCACATGCTTATTGATAGAAGGCAACGTATTAATAGATCATAATTCTACACTTGTTCTGAAAACAAAGGTAATGCATCTTAAGTGAACAAAGTAAGCACATATCAAGGTGTGAGATTGATCCATATATGGCAACCCCCACCAATTTAGATATCATAACAGAAATGTGAATAGTTAACAGTTTTTATTGGAGATCAATCATTGATGGAGATTCACAATGGTATGGGTAGACATTCATCTCACAGGATCTTGCATAGATGTACTTATACCAGCAATTAATTTACAAATACGAAGATGAGGACAATACATACAACATTTAGGTTGTGGCGGCTGCACTGAAGAAGGATGCAAATGTCATTGATGGCGCGGTCTACAACAGATTGTTCTGGTGTGGGATAAAATAAAAAAGACGAATTAGAATGAGGAAAAAAGTGACATTATGCCAAGAAACCTAACATGAAAGATGTATTTTGTTGTTGGCTAAGCAGAGTACTCAAGAAAACTGGTATCTACAGTGTGATAAAGCATCAATGCAGAAACACATATACTAATTACGAAAAGTATTTTTCATATATAGTTATTAAGCAGGTAATCGTTGCACACTCTAACATGTTGTATATTCCAAATCATATTTTAGAAAACAGCAGTACAAAGATACAATCAGAAGATTCAATTTCACCTCGAAACACAGAAGGATGCATATAATAAATGTCTCTCTTTGACCCATGCCTATTCTCTTGTAGAAGTTGTTGAACAATAAGTAGCACTCGCAATAAAATTGCTGAGAAAAGAACAATTTGAAATTTTGTCAAAGATAGCAATAGGACAGCATAATTAATTTGCCAATTGACCAAGCATACTCACCCAACCTACGTGCATGGCATTCCCGTTGTAGGGTGAGAATCTCCACTCCCTTAAATGAATCGTGGATGCAATAGCTGCGTAAAAGCAGTAGCAAGTGAAGTTTATTATTCCTCTAAACCATTTGAATCTTCCGTCTTTTAGAAATCCCTATGAATATTTACTGCGTACTGACAAAGGAGACAATTCATATTCATCATCTGTAACGTGAAAAACTTTAAAGTGGTTTCTGAATCTCTAGGTTTAGAAAATATAACACAACGTTAGTTCGAAATGATCTACAGAGTTACCCAAACTATTTTCAACAACAAATTTAAAAGATTTTTGTACCACATATTTCGGAAAATTAACATAACTAACCAGTTTCCAGAAATATCAGTGCAGTAATTACGGAAACGATGGATGTAAATCACCGGAGAACGACTATGGGAAAGATCTTCAACAATTGAATGAGTAAAATCTGAGGAATAGCATCAAATTCATCAGAGAGAATGGTGGTATTAAAAATGATCAATTTGGGTGCATCTTACCACGCAACTTCTGCAACAAATGGTTGGGTCCTGAACTCTCACGTTTTCCCTCCATTTTATTTCCTACTTGTGTCAATAGAGCAGTTCACTATTTTATTAATGGAATGCCTCCAAATCAGAATATGTTATGTTAGAACCGATGTTACCAAACCAGAATTTCCAAGAATATGCTTATATATTTATGTGCAAAATCGTGTGAACAAGGTGTAACCAAAACAGAAAAAACGTATATGTGCAATCTTATCAAAACAAGTAGAGATACCAACATAAAATCAACGATTGCTTAGAGATTAGATGGAGGCCTGGCTACGCAGTGTCTTTCAACAGAATTTCGCGCAAGTAGTATGGTAGTATCGAGCGTCTGTTTAGAGGATACAACTATCGACTCAAATTCTTGCATGAGAACTCGAATCTGTCGAGTTTCCTATGCATTCATGGATCGATTGTGTGGGAGAAGGAGAAGAACCAGAGAAATGGAGGGAAATTTGTTAACCACGAAATTCTGGAGGGAAAGATGAAGTTATATAGTTTTGGCAGTTAATCGGCAGCTAAACCCATTTTTGGTCTGTTAGCCACGCGACTTAGGTCGCGGATCTAGTCGTGTAGGTCACTTCCGACTCCATACCATAGAGTTACGCGGGTTATCCAGCGACTGAGGCCGCGTAAGTCACTGTCGAAACATCTGGAGAGTTGTGCGCGTGCTCGGGTGACTTAAGCAAGAGATCACGAGACTCTGTTGTTTCTAGTAAAAATTGGTTTTCAGCTCAAGAAAACTGGGGCAGAGCCCCAAGGCCCAATCTTTTGACATGTAAATATATGTCAGGGTTCCTCTACCGTCCAAATCCAATCCAAGTCCCTTACATGGGCTCTCGACTGTTTTGCTAAGCCTTATAAGTTCACACACATTTCCCTTTTTCCTTCCGATGTGGGATCATTTTCCTTGTAAAAATCCCAACAATACCCCATATATTCTATTCAAACACCAACAATACCTCCCATTTGAATACAAAATAAGTAATACAAGAATGTACGTTTCTATTCCATGAAGTAAGATACGACATACATTTGAAAAGGTGACTTTTGGACTTGAACCTTTCATAGTGAATACAAACCGGATCTACTTTGTAGGTAGTGAACAGAAGTCTTGAACTAACCACATTGTATAGAAAATCTAGACAATAAGTATCACCTACATCATATCTAGTACATAGTGTAGCTCTTACGGTTGTGTTTATTTCGGTCTTAAAGATTCTTGGAATTAGTAATTAGATGTGAACTACCTATTTACGTAACTCGTCCAATGGTAGTGTATTATGTTGTCAATGATAAGCCACCAACTTAATAAGACAAACTATGTAGTGCAATGTCAAAATAATTTAGCATCTTTATACACCTTCATATAGAACTAAACAGGAAACAACTAAAAGTATTGTATAAAAACAAATAAATTTTTTTTGCCAAAAGTCCATAAAGACAGATTGCTTATGGGGATAGCAATTAAAATATAGTTATATTGTTCTGAAACTTAAGTTGAAATTAATCCAAATATCTAAGCATGCATACAACATAAAATGAGCAACATCTAGTAAAACCTAGCTGGTAAATCGTCTTACAAGGTGAAATTTAACAAGTTCCATACTTTAAAATCAATAATTCTAAGTTTGTCTATCCTTGTTTGGTTATAAAATTGGAAAGGCATAAAGTAGCAGTTGATTAATCAACCATGGGCTTTTACACAGAGAAGCCAATGGTAAAAGCCACTGCTACGGTTTGCTATCATCTACTATCATCGTTCCTTTTAATTACAACATGAAAGAAGGTTAATGTTATGATGGTTGTTGGAGTCCCACATCAGTTAGACTTGAACCAAATATTCGTGTATATATGTTGGAACCTTCCCCTTCTCCTCTTCAAGGGCACTTTTGGGATATAAAAAAGGCTCCTCAACAAGTCTTGTGGAATTCAAAATATAGGTTTTTTAGTTTGGATAATAAATGTTTTCCTATCAAGCAGAGTGATTTCCACAAGAGGTTCAATCTGATGGTGCAAACATGAAAAAATAGCAATTCAAGGCATGAGTGAAATCCAAACAATACTAGAGTCTGGAATGAATGAAATCCAAATCAGTAAACAAACAAATAATGAAAGTCAACAAAAAGTGAAAACCAACCGTATTAAGTTGAGAGTCGGTTGAATGATTGAATAAACTAAAGTACCTTGGGTAATCGGTTGAATGATTGACTAAACTAAAGTACCTTATAAGTTAGGGATGTTGTATTCTTTTCTGAAATAGAATCAGTTGAATCAGAATCAATGAATCACACCACCTTGGATTGTTTCCATAAATCAAATCGAGAGTTGTAACCGATTGTTTGATTGTTTCCTGAAAGCTGAAAGTAGTTGTTTGTGTAAATAGCAAACATGGGCGCTACCTGAGGATTGAAACTTGATGCCCAGGCCCAGCGGGGTCGGCTTGGCAGTCGGCAGACCCCCTCTCCGGGCGGCGCCTGATAAAAATACATAGGGTCAAGTTCAACAATGAAATATCAATTTATATTCATAACTAGGCTTGAGGATTGGTTCGAAAAACTAGAAAGTGGTTTATGAATCTCTATGTTCAGAAAATATAACATAATGTTAGTTCCAAATGATTTACTGAGTGATCAAAACTATTTTGAACTGCAAACTTAAAGACTTTTGTACCACGTATTTTGAAAAATTAACATAATTAACCAGTTTCTAAAAATATCAGTACAATATTTACCGAAAAAGATGGATGTAAATCAACGAAGAACGACCATGGGAAAGATCTTCAACAATTGCACGAGTAAATCCGAGGAATAACATCAAATTCATCAGAGAGAGTAGTGGTATTAAAATTGATCAATTCGGGTGCATCTTACCATGCTGGCTTGAGCGTGGAGAACGGGGCCTTATTGTTCTTAGAAGCCCATGATCGGGCTACCAAAGAGGCCCGCGCTTAAAAGGCTATAACTTTAGCTCCGGGTTTCCGTTTTGAAGCCCAAAAACGCTGTTTAAGCATGGTTCTTAGACATTTTCGTGTTTTAAGTGAAATTTAAAACATGGTATCAGACAGAAGTCTGGAGCCATGGTGATCATGACGGCAGTCATTTTGAACACTCATTAAATAATACAATTACCATTTATCATGATTGAAATCCAGAATATTGAGTCAAAAATATATTGTATTCAAATTGCTTTGACAAAAGCATCCTAAATCATCAATTTTCACAAAATATATCATTCAAATCTAAATAAGCTTCAATAAATAATTTAAATCCTCATTTTTGCTAGTGCAAAGACATTTGAGGGGGGTTAAGACTCGACCATTATGTGGGGTTATTTGAGGTTGTTTATTAATAGAAAATTACTTTTATACTGTAAGAAGTATTTGGTCAACAGTTGAGGGGGCTAAGTACTACCATGTTCCCCTACTAACTACACCTCTGTTGATGATGATAGATTTTGATCGATGTTTACGTTGTCGACCAATTCAAAAGATATGGCATAAAATTTGAAAGAAATATTTCATGAGGAGTTGTAGTTTTGAAAGAAAAGAATATTGAAGGGTTATTTTAGAAAATTATTTGTAATTTAAATTTTCTTTTATGGTTTTATTCTTCTCTGCTACTTTTTACTTCTTCCCTTGTTATTTTTATCTTTTTCTTAATTTTAGGTTTTTTCTTCATAACATTTTACTTTAGGTGATTGATCAAAGATAAAGATAGAACGTGACATATTTTCATTCAACATTTAAATTTTTCATTCATTTATCGTTAATGTTTTTCTCCTTTTATTTATTTTATGTGCTTTTTAATTTTTTTTATTGGTTTTAAATTAATTTTACAGCTTTCACAGGTTTAAAAATGATTTACATTGATCTCGAACTTCATACTGCGAAATCTCTACTAACTTGACTGTTATTGCGTAATCCCTCTAATATTCACATTGAATATGAAACTTCTTATTTATTAAAAAGAAAAGAGAAGGGGCGGGTTGTCTAATAGGGTTCTTCCTCCGCTAGTTGATACTTTAAAGGAGTTCTTCTTATCTTTTTCTTTTTAATCATTTTAGCCCTTTTTGTTGAGCTTTTAAGAAATTCTTCCTACCCAATACGTGATAGCTTTGTGTAGTTTAACTGTTGTTATAACATGCCCCTAGTGGCTAGTGTGATGGGTGGTTTGTTAAATGGGACACACATGGCAAGATGGCATGCTATGTTGAACAAGATGTCTTATGTTCTTTATTTGAATTCTGAACTCGAGCATTGTTATTTGGACTTGGAGTATTTCCAGAAGATGAAAAGATAGTGGTTACAAGTCTACAACGTTAATGGACATTCTGGTCCATTTATACAAATATGTTAACAAAATCAAAAGTGGATTGTTTTTAAACAAAAGGAAGCATGTAGCATTTGAAAGAAAGTAAAGCATAAAAATGATAAGAATGACTGATTGGCCATGCTTATTAAGAATATAAGGTGATGGCATAGTGCTAGTAACTTGCACAAAATTGAGAGGTGAATTCACATCTCTTGTTTTCTAATATGGAGAAACAAAAGCTCAAGAGATAGTGTGGAATAAAAGTATATGCTCCTAAAAATGATGGTTTAGAGCCATACCAGTTTCATCTAGATGCCACCAAAGGTCCAACCAACTACTGTCCATATAATAGTCTCAGAACCCATATTAGCGCAATATGATATAACAATCAAAACTATTGCTAAAATGTACTACACCGCTTCAAATTGAAGTATTTATCAAAGAACAACCAAAATATTTCCTATGCGTTACATCATCTATATGATTAAAATATATACTATCAATAAATAGTGTGTGCCTTACAACATCAAATAACCATATAGTCCATTAACCAACAAATTGGCAACCTATAAATGATGGGTATAATCATTTTTAGAATATGGCATTTAAAACTAGTCTTGTTTTTTTCTCCACAATAACTTTATCACAACATAACCATTAGCTGGTAAGTGGAAAATGYGTGTGTATTTACTGACAACAGCAATCCAAGATTTATAGATACATGTAGATAAGTTTTAGTACGTTTCCATTCTAAGTGGGATCTATATATTCTGAATTGTTGCATCTATTGAGTGATCAACAAACGACCATGGAGGGGTTTTTTTTACCAAGTTCATTTATTAGAAAAAAACCAGGTTATTCAGAATCATGCAATTAAAAATCATTTTGGATTCACATAAAAAGAATCAACCAAGCTCTTAATATCATAGGGTAGCAACACTATGGATCTGCAACCTCAAATTTTAAAAAGTGGGATACAGAAAATGCAAGCGGGTGATGGCAATTTAAAGTTAACCAGATAAACTATAATATTCACAATTTTGTTCTATATACACCTCCAAAGAAACCCTAATACCATTAATGGAGGCCACGTACAATTTTGTTCAGAGATCCATGCATTAAAACAAAAGTCATTTCCGAAATACAAACATATTATCTTTGAATCTATTATTCCTCTAAACCATTTGAATCTTCCGTCTTTTAGGAATCCCTATGAATATTTATCGTATGCAGGCAAAGGAGACAATTCATATTCATTATCTGAACTTGAAAAACTATAAAGTGGTTTCTGAATCTCTAGCTTTAGAAACTATAACACAGGGTAGTTTGAAATGATTTACTGAGTGATCAAGCTTGGAGACTATAGTGATCACAACACATTGATATGATTAGTTGAGATATATAACACGTCTCACACAATCGAACTATATAGGTTAATTCCCATGCCACGTCTTTTACGGGTGAATAATTTGTGGCTATTGTAACTTGATGCATCTGCGGGTAACAATTTTCTGGTATGCAATTACTCCTGAAGATTTAGAGCACAGCTGCATAGTTTTGGGTTGATATAAAATCTCTGCTTGGTCTAAGCAATTAAAGAATATGATCAGGTAGTAGTTCACAGAACATAGCTACATATTTTCCATCCATACAATTACAAAGTAAAAAATATGAACTTCATGATGTCTGAAAGAGGATGATGGGACATTAATTTATGCGCAGTTGTATTATAAGTCTTGCACTAATTGAACATGTTTCGTACTTGTTAGGTGCCTTGTGAAGAGAACTTGTATTTGGACTACTTGGGTAGAAATCTGATCCAGGCTTTGTGTAACGTAATCTCTACATGTTAAATTGAAAAATCTCCATGAACAACACCAAACTCAAGAAAAGTAAATAATACATAACTATTTACTACACATACAATTTACATTACCAATGATCCACACCACAATCTCTGGTAAATTACCTACTGAAATTAGTTCATAACTTGATTTTTTGTCATTGGAAACTTTTGTCAAACACTTGGTGTTCACGAAAAAAAAAAAAAAAAATAGGTAACGGAACACAGTAGTGGGGTTAATCAAAAAACCAAGATAGGAACACATTGGGGATAACAAAAAACGAAGATGACAGATTAAAGATCCATCAACATATGAATCATTATTTCAAAACACCAAAGAGAGCACATACATACATGACAGTGTTCGAAGAAGATCATGGCTTCGGAATGTTGGCAATATCGAAGGTTTTGGTGATTCTGAGTTGATGACTTGGATTTGGGGTTCGACTTTCACTTCAAATGTTACCTGGCAATGGCACGGCCTCCTCTGGAGTCTGGAGTTGGAAACCAATTCAGAATACTTGATTTGAAATTGATTGAAAAAAAGAAAGCAATCACTTTCATAATCACAAAATTTACACACAAAATTGACACCGGGTAACTTAAGATCAGATCACCGTTCAACTTAAGATCATATCATTAGCTTATAAAGTTAAATTAGTCACTGCTATGGTTTGCTAACGTTCCTTTTAATTACAACATGAAAGAAGGTTAATGATATGATGGTTGTTTGAGTCCCACATCGGTTAAGACTTGAATCAATTCTCCTGTATATATGTTGGAATCTTTCTTTCCTCTTCCTCAAGGGCTCTTTTGGGGTATAAAAAAGCTCCCAACAAGTCATGTGGAATTCAAAATATAGGTTTTTAATTTGGATAATAAATGTGTTCCTATCAAGGAGAGTGATTTCCACAAGTGGTTCAATCTGATGGTGCAAACATGAAAAGATAGCAATTCAAGGCATGAGTGAAATCCAAACAATACTGAGAGTCTGGAATGAGTGAAATCCAAATCAGTAAACAAACAAATAATGAAAGTCAACAAAAAGTGAAAACCAACCGTATTAAGTTGAGAGTCGGTTGAATGATTGAATAAACTAAAGTACCTTGGGTAATCGGTTGAATGATTGAACCAAATTGAGAGTTGAGACATTGATTAAGTTAGGGATTTTGTATTCTTTTCTGAAATAGAATCAGTTGAATCAGAATCAGAATCAGAATTCCACCATAAATTATCTATACAGTTGGGGACCTCTGCCATTTGCATTAATCATCAACGGTAGAACCAAAGCAACATACAATCTTGGTAAATATATCACTGAGTTTCGATAGGAACAATTGTAAAGGATATGAGCCCAACCCAACCCAACCCTTTTTCAGTCTGTCTACTTTGGAACAATAAGGAACGATTTAATGTGTTTGTAGAGCTCTTTGGGTTTCTCGGCGTTGATTGCATGCCCACAATTCTTCACGATTACCAGTTCCGCATTTTCACCTAAATGTCTGATCAAAACATAAATAACAGTTGGTAATCTTGAAAGGATTAAAAGAAGAAATATAAAATGAAATTAACCTTTTTAATCTGTGACCCAATTCCAGTGGGAATATCTGATCATGCTCTCCCCAGATGATCAATGTAGGCTGCATCATGAACAAAAAGCTTTAAACATCCACGGGTATGGAAAATTGGGAACATACAGCTAGGAATGAACCAACCAACCAACCTGAGTAATCTGGGCAAGATGAGAGAGTTTTCGACCCTTATGTAAGGCTTCGATCAATTCTCCTCGTTCTTGAACATGCTCTGTGTTCATTACCTAACTTCCCATCATTAACATTAATTTTGTTCTTCAGCTTGTACAATTATATAAACTTTTTTGTAAATTAAGCGCATATATTATATAGAAATGATGCAACTTCTTCTGAATGTTGTGTTGGTCAACAAGAATGAAACAAAACAAAGTCAAGTTTCAGTTTCTTGAAAGAACGAAAGAAAGGATTTTGAAATTGAAAAACGAAGGGAAGGTGTGAAGGTGATGAGTGAGGTGACTCACATCAATAAAATCAGATAGGAAGCAGGAAGGCACATTCTGGGGAGGCTTGTAGAAGGCCATCCGCATCAACTCCCTCAACTTATCCGGTGTCTGAGCCAACAGAATACTGGTAGCATCTTCAATACTCTTCACACGAACTAACCCTTTATCCATATCACTCTCCTCCAAACATACACCTGAACAAGCAATGATCACCTTCTCCACCTTCTCCGGGAACTGCGATGCCATGCTGTACCCCACAAACCCACCGTAGCTCAGACCCATCACCTGCATCTTACCAACAACACCAACATCCTCCATAGCTGCCATAAGGCACTCCGCCTGGAATTGTTCTGTCCGTTGGGGTCGGGTGGTGTGGGAGTCTCCGAAGAATAATAGATCCGGAACGTATACGTTGAATTTGGAGACAAGCGGAGAGATGAAGTCGTTGTATTGCCACATTGCATTAGCACCGAATCCATGGATGAGGAGGAGATTGGGTTTGTGGGGTTTGTGGGTTTTGGGAATCCAGCAGTGGATGAGGGTGGCGCCTTCATGTAGGTTGAGGGTAGTTGATTTGAGGCCGGTGAAGGTGAAGGAGTATCTGAAACACCGGTCTCGTGATGCTGTGAAGCTAAAGCAGCTTGCCATAGCTATCTATTGTCTAAGATGAGAGTGGACGGCAGACGGATGGTTAGGTATATCAGCGTTGACCAAATTTTCAACACCTTGTACCGAACAAAACTCTTTCTTGTCCTTCAATAGCATCCACGGTAAGAGGTAGGAGCATCCACGGTGTGCTCTCTTTAAGGTTTTTCAAAAAGAAAACAAAAATTCTTTTTTTGTCATAGATCATGACCGTCGATCCAGAAATCTATATATATATATATATATATATATATATATATATATTAAAGGAAGAACCAAGAGTATTGAGGTGACATGAGAATTAAGTATTGAAGTGTTGGTGAATTGTGATTGATTTTGAGATATTCCATATTGATGAAGAGTTAAAATATTTGAATAAGATGAAATGTATAAGAAAGGTGGATTGGATGCCTTTGTATCAAATAATAGGGTTTGCCTCATAGGGTTGTCTTTCTTTTGATGATCCTCTTTGAAGTCTATAACCATGGTTGGAAATAAAAGGATCCAAATGGTAGAAATTATAGTGCAAATTAATTATATTATATTATTATATCTTTATATTTATATAAAAGTAAAATCTCTCTCTCAATATATATATATATATATATATGTGTGTGTGTGTGTGTGTGTGTGTGTATTACAATTTCACTAATTGTATTTTATTTAACTTTTTCAAATTATTTGAATACTATTTGTTGATAATTTTATTAACAACTAATATATATTTATATAAACAATCTTCAGATCATTAATCAAAGTACTCATACTACCGCGCAACGCGCGGTTTCCATACTAGTATTAGTAAAGGGGGTTGGAATTTAAGTAAGAAGCATATGTCTACGTGGTTGATGATATCCTTTATTTATATAATTTCTTTTAATTCTTTTTTTTTTTTATAGAGATGGGAGAGGTCCCTCTAATCAAGAAAAAACATTAAAAGCAAGTCAAATACGCGTTCGGGTGGAAATGAACCACATTTACCAGAATAAACCAAGGCTCTCCGAGGGGAAAGAGAGGAAGAGAAAAGGGGGGGAGGAGAGAGAGAGAGAAAGAAAAAGAAACCAACTACAAGGGAAGGCCCAACCAAGTCAAGACTGAGAAGCAACAGGGGAAACCACAAGGACGGGAAAAGGGGTCTAAAACAGGCACACTTTAAACCGCACCAAGAAAACGAAAAGAGCAAAGGAGCTCACAAGACCAGAAAAACAACACAAGAGAACGAACAACTAAGGAAGGTTCCAGGCAAGCCGAACCCGGACAACATTTGCGATTATTCTTTTCCTGTCACAGGTGGTAGATAGTCCCAGCAAGCACTAATCTACGAATGATAGACCAGATGGTCTTTCCTTTGGTGGCTTGCTGGAACATACCAATAATATTAGCCCAATTATCCGGGACACCAATGAGGTTCAGCTTGGGCTTTAAGTCATTCCAAACCTGATTAGGGAATCGGCACTCAAAGAAAAGATGCGAATGCGAATCAGGCCCGTTATGACAGAATGCACAAGACAGGTTGGAGTGAGCCTCCCAGAACCGAAGCTTATCATGCGTCTTGAGACGCTGCTTGAAGGCAACCCACAAGATGAAGGAATGTATGTTAATTTAGACTTATCAAATGATACTCCATAATAAAATCTCTTTTAAAAGAATCCAATAAAGATTAATTATATACGACTAATAAATCTTAAGTCTAAATTAACAACAAAAATTTAGTAATTTGACATAAACTAAAAAACCTTAACCTAACAACTAATAACTAATAAAAAGTTAACAATTATATGAACATGGGTCATAATCCATGCAAAAGTTTGTAAGAAAACTTGCATGGATCATGATTATACGTTTAACTCTTAAAGGTAACACACTCTGATATCGACACACGATAATCTAAATCATATGAACATGGGTCATAATCCATGCAATTAAACCTTACCATAACTCTTAAGATACTCTAGGACACCTAAACGATAACCCAAAAGACTCCAAAACAACATGAAGGAAAAAAGGGAAAAGAATGGCAAAAACGCATAAACAGTAGTTGCTGCGACTTTTTTTGAGTTTGACTCAGCTTAAAACCTACTAAAAATATAACAAATCCAGATTTTTGAATAACCAATCTCATAAAATGTTATTTTAAAATTACTACATAATCATAAACTAACATAAAAAGATTTGGACCATTAATCGAACTATAATACCAAAAATGAACAACTCAAAATAGCAAGAGATGATTCTCATATATTGCCAAAAACTTAAAGTATCCTCCTTTGAAAATGATTTTACCAAGAATTTCAAAATAAAAACAATTAAAGGAGAGGCTTACCGTGAATTCAAGAGAGAAAGGTTTTAATCAAGACTCACTTTTTTACCCTCAATATCAACACTTTACAAAAACTTGCACTTTCTTTTCTTTTTTTACTATTCAAACCTTCAACAAAAAGATGAGTAGAAAAATACACCCTAGACTTCTTATAATACTAAAACCCGGTTATAATAAACCAAGTTTTTTTTTTAATATTAGAAAGATACTCGTGCAATACAATGAGATACATCTTGATTTTAATGTTTCGATTTATTCTTTCTTCGTCGATGTTATAATATGGTTTTATGTGGTTTAAAAAAACGATAATGTTTTTATTTTTGAATAAAATATAAATTTGAAGATATTAAATTTTTTTGAAATATATATATATATATA